TTCGGGCCGTCAAAGCAAAGGCCTGCCAGAACGCCGGCTTCAACCAGCAAGCAATCTATAACAACCTGCTGGGGGACCTGGTGCAGCCCGGCAGCCCGGCAACCGTATCCACCCGTGCGCGCGCCAGGCGTGCGTCCAAGGTGGCGGCCGGCACCCCGGCCGGCACCCCGTGCCGCCCGCGACATCACTGCAGTAGGGTTGGTGCTGTGCATGCGGGGTGGCTGGCGGGGTGGATCTAGCCTGCGAGGATGGCAGTGAAGCGCCTCTAAGGCGAGGTTGTGTCTCTTGGGCTAGTGTCATTATATGATCAAGCGTTTCCGCTCACCGCCCACACACCCCTGCTGTGTCCATACCCCTCCCTCCGCCTGCCCCGTCCCACCCGTGCAGATGACTGGAGGCATATCTGCATACTTCCAAGAAGACCCGGTCCAACACTCCCGAGGCAACGTGCAGCTGCTTATCATCCCAGTCCCCTCTGCAAAATAAGGTGGATCCTGTCAGCCGCCCCGCCGTTAGAAAGCCCACAGGCGCCGGCAAGCACTCGGCCTAGTGGGCCTGTGGTTGCTGCCTGTAGAGCATGCACCCTCAGTGTGCAGCCTTCTGGCACTTTCATGTGCCTGGGAGATGTGGGGACATGGGGGCCCATGTGCCCCATGCCATTGAATGACCGCACCAGCATCGGCACCCGTCGGCATGGCAGGCGTAAGCTGCTAAGGATTCCCCACCACGTTGTGGGGGTTGCGTGTCCGGCAGGACGGGGAACGGGCCCAGGGTGAGGTGACCCTGGGACGCTCAGCTGGGGTGAGGGTGGCTGGAGCCTTGGAGAGGGTGCTCCAGGGTCCAGTCACCCCGCTATATGATAGGCGTGAGAAGACCTGGGGCAGGGGCCACATGTGATCAAGGGGCAGCGGGTAGGCGGTGACTAGTCAAAGGGTGGGCCGTGCACGCAGCGGCGGCAATTGAATAGGAAGGAATGGTTTGCCGCGATTGCTTCCCGATGCAAGGACCGGGCTGGGCGCCGCAGAGCCGCATCGTCATACATGCCATGCCCGCATTGCCTACTGCGATGGAGGTGGTGGCTGTGTCGAGGTCTGAGATGAATTCGACCGCTTCGTCAGCTACCTTTCTGATGCTAGCTAGCTTTCTCATGCTGCCTCCTGCTGCGGTCCAGCTGGACAACTTGATACACAATGCTGGCCTTGCAGCTTGTTGAATGGGCCTTTCCGATCAGTTCCACATGCCCGCCTCCTGCCACGCCCCTGCCCTTTGTCCGGGAGGCCAAAGCCGATTGCACGGGGCACGCCAGGCCGTGCTGCCCACCCCACGAGCGGCGCATCAGCATCTAGAATTCCAATTCGCAGCAGCAAGCCGTGTTCAGCAGCTGGTGCAGCGGGTGATACACAGTGCACAGCGGCCGAAGCGCCGTGCGCCGCCAACTTTGGCCATGGCTGGCTCGGGGCAGGGCGCGCAGGGAGGGCCTTCCAAAGTCCTTTTCGTGTGCCTGGGCAACATTTGTCGCAGCCCGTCTGCCGAGGCGGTGTTCAAGAATGGTAGGGATCAGCTTTAGGGGACGCACGTCCCACCACCCTCTCTTCTGTTGCCCTACCACCCCCCCTCATGCGCCCACTGTCTATCCATCACAGTGGTGGAGCGTGCGGGCGTAGCCGACCAGTTCCAGATCGACAGCTGCGGTACCGGCGGCGGCAGCTCCAACTGGTACCTGCCGGGCGGCTTCAGGCGCGCACATGCCTGGTGCCGCCGCTGCGGCCTGCTGCGCATGTGCCACCCAGCCACCTGGCTCCATACATTGTAGTCCCCAGTGCCGCATCTCCCGTGCCGCCATCCCTCCTGTCTGCCACCACTCCGCCTGCGCTGCGTGTGCAGCTACCACGAGGGTGACCCGGCGGATGGGCGCATGACGGCCACCGCCCGCGGCCGCGGCGTCACGCTGACCAGCCGCTCGCGCCCGCTCACGCCCCAGGACCTGGCTGAGGTGGGCACGGTGGAGCGATGAGCATGCCTGCCTTTACAGCTGCTACAGGTCAACTGTTATACACACACCCCGATGCCCCTCCCACCTCCTCTCCCATGTCCTTTTCCCCTGACCCGCCCCACACCCTGCCCACCTTCGTCCTTAGTTTGACCACATCATCGGCATGGATGCCTCCAACCTGGCAGCCATCAAGCGCGCAGCAGAGCACTGGCGCGCCAACGGCGGCGGTGCCGCCCCTGTGCCTGCCGACTACGGCGCCAAGCTGAGCCTCATGACCGACTACCTGCGCGGCACGCAGTTCAGCCAGTACAAGGAGGTGCCAGGTGGGGGTGGTGGCCAGTCCAGGGGGACATGCTGAGCAGTCAGTCGTGCAACGTCTTCACGTGCAGCAGCAGCTGCACTGGCCGCACCGCACCCTGGTCGCAAGCTTGGCTCTGCCCTCCCGCTGACCCCTGCCTGCAGACCCGTACTACGGAGGGCAGCGCGGTTTCGAGCTGGTGCTGGACCTGCTGGACGATGCGTGCGAAGGCCTGCTGCAGTCCATCCAGCAGCGGCGGCAGTGAGGCGGCGACGGGGCGGCAGGCAGGGCGGCGGCACATGTGCACGTCTTGCACAGAGGCCTGTTATAGGCGTCTGTTTCCTTTTATTCAGTATGTGTGCAAGCGTGCGTGGCAGCAGCTGGGGCTGGCCTCGGCTGAATGTTTACTAGTAGTGCCGAGGTTGCTATGCCTGCCAGCCACGCTGGAATCAAAGCTATGGCTCCCAGCTCGGGCGGTCAACCCTTGAAGAATACAGCGCATTGCCATGCGGTAGGAACAAGACGGCCTGCAAAGATGCTCTCGGTCCCTGCCTCTGGTGCGACGTTGCATAAGCTCAATGCCTTCCCAACTTGGCACCTATCTGCCTGGTTGCATTTGAGTGGCATTTGGCAAACAGAAGGCCATCACAAAACGCGCCTTGCGCCCGCTGGCGCTACGCCCGCTCACACAGAAGCCGGCGCCGCTGCTGCTCCCTGCCCCGCCCCCGCCGCACCCTGCGCCGCCGCCGGCTTGTCGAAGAATGCGATGTAGTTGACGGCGGTGTCGCGCCCCAGGTCCCACCGCCCGCTCAGCGGGTCGTACTCCATGCCCGCCAGCAGGCGCAGGCGCAGCGGGGCGCCGCCGCCGCCGCCGCCGCTCTCCTCCATCTGCATGGCCAGCTCCTGGGGCGTCACAAAGCGCTCCCACTCGTGCGTGCCTGGCGGCACCCAGCGCAGCACGTGCTCGGCAACCAGCACGGCGGCCAGGTAGGATCGGGGCGTGCGGTTCAGGGTGGAGAGCGCCACGCCGCCGCCGGGGCGCGTCAGTGCCGCCAGCGCCGCGCAGAAGGCGGGCACCGAGGCCACGTGCTCAATCACCTCGCTGGCAACCACTGCGCGGGCAGGGCAGGGCAGGGCAGGGCAGGCGCTGAGAAAGGGGAGGCAGCCGTGCAGGCAGCGCCGGTCATCTGCCTGCCGCCAGGCCGTTGCTGCCCGCTCACAATCTGTTGTGACCGACACAGACGAGCGGCACTGGCCCCACCTGCGTCAAAGCACTCCCCCGCCGCCACCAGCTGCTCCGCCGAGGCGGTGCGGTAGTGCAGGCAGCCTGCCAGGTCTGGGTCCAGCGCCGCGTGGGCCTGGGCGGTGGCGATGCCGCCCTCGTTCACGTCGATGCCCGTCACGTGCGCCCCCATGCGCGCCAGCGACTCCGCCAGCAGCCCGCCGCCGCATCCGATGTCCAGCAGGCGCAGCCCCGCCAGCGGGCGCGGCTGGGCCGTGTCTCGCCCAAACGCGACGCACAGGGCGGAGCGCAGGAAGCGGCAGCGCACGGGGTTCATGGCGTGCAGCGGCGCAAAGGGTCCCGCAGGGTCCCACCACTCGCCCGCCAGCGCAGCAAACTTGGCCGCCTCGCGCGCGCTCACTGTGGAGCGGCGCTGCTGCTGGCTGTGCTGCTGGGAGTGGCGCTGCTGCTGCTGCACCTGCTGCTGCTGGTCGGCCGCTGTGGAGCTGGCTGGCGCAGTGTCGCTGCCGCTGGTGCTGCTCGGCACGGCAGGCCCTCCGTCCGCCGCTGCCGCAGTGCCAAAGCCGTGTGCTTGCCACCTGCAGCCAACCGTTGGGTTCTCATGCCCATTCATCATTGCTGACACTGATCAATGCGGTTGCCGGTGGTCCTTGCAGGTCTTAACACAGCAACGGTGGCGGGAGCTACGGTGGCGGGAGGCGGCCAGCGGCAATCACCTGGCAATGTAGGCTGAGCAGACTGCAGCTGGATGGGCCAATTCGCCTAGAGCAGGCTGTGTCAGGCTGGCAGCCCGGCGGGCGGCAGGACCCAGCCAGAGCGCCATGACTTGTGCGCAATGTGAGGCTGGAATGCACTCTGGGAGGGCTCAATCGATGGCACAGAAGACCTGGAACTAATTGATCGATAAGGGTTCAGGCAGAGGATTGAAGGATGGCGGCAATTCAGTGCCCATGTGTACCCACCGTGGCAGAGATGGTCTGGCCGTGCGGAGCTCTGGAGGCGTTGATCGCAGCTGCATCGTGCTCTGCTGACCATCGGCTCGCTGTGCAGCGTTTCCAGGTCTGCGTTGGGCGCGATCAGCAAAGGCAAAGGCAGCGGATGGGGAGGTCACGAAGCCGTTCTCCCAAGAGACGTCGGAGCAGGAGTAGAAGCCGTGAACGGAGGTGCGGGGCGTTCAGGTCGAGGGGTGATGAGCGCCAGTGTGCGCACTGCAGCAGGAAGGCTGCGCACCCGCCCCAGCGGCGCCCGTGTAGCAAAAGCGGTGCGGTGCTGAACGGCGCCCTGGCCCGCCCCCCTGCAGGCGCAGCCGCAGCCGCAGCCCGCCGCCGCAGTCGGCGGACGAGCGCCACCGCTTCCTGGTCACGGACGAGGGCAGCATCGCGGCGCAGATGCAGCAGCAGCAGCTGGCGGCGCTGCAGCAGCAGCAGCTACAGAAGCAGCTGCTGGCGCAGCAGCTGATGATGGGTGGCGGCATGGGGGCTCCGGGGCTGGCGATGCCGCAGGCGGGCGGAGGCACCGGCGGCACGCAGGCGGAGACGGCGGCACGCAAGGCGCGCGAGATCTACATCGGCAACCTCGCCATCGGCATCATCACGCCCGAGCTGCTGCGCGAGTTTTTCGACCAGGTGCGGGTGGGGAGGGAGGGAGGGGGTGGACGCACGAGCGGCAGGGGGCGAACGGTGCCTTGGTGTTGTTGTTGCCGGCGGGGGTCTGTGATGGGCGCTGCGGTGGCGCACCTCATGCGTCGGGGCAAGGGCCGCGGCCGGCCGGGGTGCGGCTGGCAGGCCGGGCGGGCAGGCAGGAGCGCCGGCGCGCGCCGCCGTCGCCCACCCTGCCACCCACTCCGTGCCCCTGCCACCCCGCCGCCGCCCCCGCGCAGGTGTTTGCACACCAGGTGGCCGACCCGGTGTCCTGTCCCCCCGTCACCAACGTCAACATGGACACCACGGGCCGCTTTGCGTTTGTGGAGTTCCAGACGGAGGACATGGCCACTAAGGCGCTGGAGATGGACAAAGTGGTGTGTGTGTTGGGTGGGGGAGGCGCTGGGGAGGAGGGGGAGCAGGGGGGAGAGCTTGGCCGCGGGCAGGGGAAGGAGCGCTGGGTCGCTGCGCTTGGGGGCGCGCGGCGGTGGAGGCCGACGGCGCTGGGCCGCTGCCCGGGTGCGGCCTGAGATGTGCGGGCAGGTGGCCGCGCCAGCTGCCTCACGCCCAGGCGTCGCCCCCTGCCCCCGCGCCCCCCAGGTGGAGCTGTGCGGTCGTGCCATGAACATCGGGCGGCCCAAGGGCTACGTGGCGGGGGCGCCGCAGCTGCCGTCGCTGCCCAAGGCGGCGGGCGCGGCGCCGATGCCGGTGCCCGTGGCGGGGCAGCCCAGCACCCAGCTGCTGCTCAGCAACCTGCTGCCGGCGGGGCAGCTGCGGGGGGAGGAGGAGCGGCGCATTGTGAGCGGGGGGGGCTGCTGCTTTGTGCTGCGCTGCGTGCTGCCTGCCGTGTGCCCCGCTGCGTGCTGCTGCGCTGCGTGCCCCGCTGTGTGCTCCTGCTGCACCCCCGTGCTGCTTCATGCCCCGGCGCCTGCCTGCCTGGCTGGCAGCTGGCTGATCGCCGGCCGAGCATGCCTTGCGCCCTGCCCCCTTCCCCCGCCCGCCTCCTGTGCCTGCAGCTGCAAGAGGAGGTGCACGAGGAGGCAGCCAAGCACGGCGCCGTGGCCGCGGTGGTGGTGCCGCCGCCCACGGCCTGGGTGCAGGACCTCATGCCGGGGCGCTGCTACATCAAGTACGAGACGGCGGAGGATGCGCAGAAAGGTGGGGGCCTCGGGGCTGGGGAGGGGAGGGGAGGGAGGGTGCAGGCCCGCACACGCCCGCCACCTCACGTGACCCACCAGCCTACCCCGCCACCCGCCCCGTCGTTGCCCCCCGCTCCAACCGACCCTGCTCCCACTGCTCACCACTGCGTGCCCCGCCCCCCTTGCCCGCCTGCTCTGCCCGCCCGCGCAGGCAAGGTTGTGTTTGATGGGCGCACGCTGGACGGCAACACCATCAAGGCCATGTTTGTGCAGGAGGAGGAGTTCCAGCGGGCGGCGGCGGGGGAGTGGGTGTCCAAGCAGAGGTGGGCGGCGGCAGCGGGGCGAGGTGGAGGGGCGTGCAGCTGCGAGGGAGCGGCTTGCGCATGGCAGGGTGGCAGGCAGCAGCGCGGAGCTGGCTCGCAACGTTGGCGCGGGCTTGCAGGCCGTGGCTGCGGCACCGCCCGGGCGCTGCCGGGCTGCTGGCCCGGGGAGGGGGTGCCTCCAACCCTCCCTCCCCGCCCTTTGCTGCTGCTGCAGCGGCGTGGCCGGCATCCCGCTGCCCGGCCTGTACACCATCACACCCGTCACCAGCGGCATCACGGGCCTGTCGGCGCTCAACCCCTCGCTCGCCTCGCTGGTGGCGACAAACCCCGGTGGGTGGGTAGGGGTGGGTGGGGTGGGTGGGCAGGCAGGCAGGCAGGCTGCGGCCTTCCACCGGCAAGGGGGCAAGGGGGTGGCTGCCGTGGCCTGCATGCGCCTGCATGTACATGCGCCTCCCTCACAGTTCAGGTCACAGGCGACCCACCCCTCCCCCTGCTCCCACGCCTGCCCCCACCCCCACCCCCGCAGGCATTGCCGCGATGATGACTGCGGGCATCAACGATGACGAGGTGCCGTTTGAGGAGGGGTGAGTGAGTGTGTGTGTGTGGGGGGGGGGGGCAGGGGGCGGTTG